CAAATTGTTCATCTGTGACTTTCATATTAATTTGTGCATTTCATAGGTGACAGTATGACACTCGCATTGATAGCGAGAGGTTGCAGGTTCGAATCTCCTCAGAAACACTTTCATAGAACTGAATTATAGGGACTTTTCGCTGAAAGGCTGTTTGATAATGATATCATCTTCCTATCTGAGCACTGTTTATTATTAATCTATTTGTATGTATGTACACACACACACATATATATATAAATATATAAATATATATATATATATATATATAAATATATATATATAGGTCATATATATATATATATATATATATATTACACAAGACTGTTTAGAGTTTATCTTTATTATAATGTTGTATATTAATATTTTAATGTATATTAAAAAGGCCTAAGTGTTATTAAATTAGTGTTATTATTAAGGCTATCGTCATCACACTCATTATCTTTAGCAGTGTAGCTAACCAGTGTTGTTGACATTTGCTTACCTATAGTCTGAGCTCTCAACCAATAGAATATACCGTTCACATGCATATATTTGTTTTCATAATTTATCTTCACGTAAATAGGAGTAACCGGATGAAGATTTTGTGGGCAGCATTCGAAAAATTCGTTCTCTGACTTATCTGCTGTGCACCGTTTGTACTTATCTGAACAGTATCCTCTATAAAAATACAAATACTCACATATAAAATAATGGATCATCCCTTTAAAAACCATTAGATATCCTAATTAATGTCAGCACCATCTTCACGCAAAAACACAACCACCACCACCACCTCCACCAACACTGCCCTCATTATCAACATGATCATCATCATCACCATCATCATCATCATCACCATCATCATTATATGTATTTTCTACATATTAGTAGACCCTAACATCGATTACATAAGCATTTTGAGCCCATAAATTGTCACACTTTTCGGGGCTTTCGCCCCTGGACCACTCTCAATATAGTTTGAGCAACGCCCGACCAAGCTCACTTTGTTCTTGTCGGATTCATCCCCCCCCCACCTTCTCGTCGGGGACCTCAGATTCCCCGTTGGGCGAATCCTGGTTCAAATTCAGTCATTAGTTGTCCTGGCCTTCGCCCCACGTTGTGAGGGCGTATATCTGTTCGAAAATTGTCCTTGGTTGGATTGTGTTTACATACAGTACAATCAGGGGCTTGTGTGGCAAGACACTCCCTATGACAGTGAGTTATCAGTGGTTCAGTTTCTGCGAGGAGCATTTTTCTGAACAATCCATAAGGAAGGTTTTCGAGGATAAGCTATGCCAGTACGATCTTTCAATCATTGTTTCTTCGAGTGCTGTTTCTACCACTATTTGATTTTATCTGTCTATATTAACAAAGAGATAAATAGTAACTACAGTGCTCGAATATGAGAATGATGTTATGATCGTACCAAGCAGCTCTTTAACGAAGGACATAAAAGTTACCTCTCACAGGATTTGAACCTGAAAGTACACAATACAGAACAACAGGAACCTATACGATGTAGGCGTAGAACCTCCCACCCCAAGTATTTTTTTTCATACCACTGAATTTTTGAGCTCACGAAATGGAGATATTTTAAAGCTATAAATTAGCTGCAGGGAGAAAACTGTTTATGCATATCACTGTAACTTTACATTTAACATAGTTGCAGCTAATTTAAAACGCTTTTGAAAATTAAAATTGCATTAAAGATGTATTGTCCCTTGCTAATGTCAAAAAATCATAAAAAATAGTTTAGAAGTAAACTTGCTCATTATTATTGCAATAGCAAACAAATTATTAACTTGTGCATACAAATTATTGAATTAAAAAAATGTGTACCCTGATTTTTAAACCAAAAAATTATAATAAAAATATAAAATACTTCCAGTGAATGGAAGTGTTTCTATCATTTTTCGCTGTAAGCTGATGATTAGACATTTTTCAAATACAATAATTTCTGTGTTCAAGTTGATAACTTTTTCGTTACTTCAAAATGTGCAAGTTAATTTAAAAAAAATATATTTTTTATGATTTTTTGGTATTTAGCATGGGACAATACATCTTTAACATAAAATACATTGTCCATCCATTAATGTTAAATAATGACGTCATATTTTAATATGCACATATTTGATAAGGTCATTTACTTGGACAGTGTTTGAAGAAGAACCAAGCAGTGAGCATAAGTGCTGGACAGAAAAACCTTGTGTAAGAAAATATGAAACAGAATAGAAGCATAGATAAAATCAGCAGTAGTAAAAATTGACTTTTAAGCTGGTGCTGGGAAGAAAAGCCAATAAAAGATCTTGAATATACTTTAGGCCTACACCTGATGTCGTGATGATATTAGCATATCTCTTCAACAAAAATCTCCTTTTTTCAGGTGCATAGAAATATCATTACCATGATCATTATCATCGCAGCATCAGCATCGTCATTATCATCATCATCATTATCAGCAGCAGCAGCAGAAGTAGCATCATCATCATCATTTCAACTTACCTTCCTTGACTATAATACATTGTATAATTTGTTGACACATTTCCTTTCCATCC